GCAGGCGTTCGACGAGACAGGTCCGGTAGCCCAACTCTGCTGCACCAGGTCCAGGGTGGCACACTGCAAGAAGTGCAGTACGCCCGCAAGAAGGCGGAAAAAGCGGCGGAAAACAACGACGAGCAGGTATCCGAGACGAGTGATGAGCTTGCTGCTGCTGCTGCTGCTGCTGAGGTCATAGAGCCTGAGCCGACCGAGCAGGCAGCGCCAGAAGGCAGCGACAAATACATCAACATGGTGGCGAGAAACAAGAGGGAGTATGACGCGCTCATGATGCTGCAAAAGGATTTCGAGGCCAACGCCCGCGCCGTGGAGGAAGAAAACAGGGAGATGTTGGAGGAGGACGAAATGCGGGACGAGGAACGGGAGTTCGAAGAGGATGAGGAAGAAGAAGAGAAATTCGACGAGAGCCAGGATGGCATCCAGGATCAAGGGACTTCGAAGCGGGCAGGACGTCTGCACCCATTCTCGAGGGAGGGCCACTTCTCGACAAACCCGAGCACAGTCAGTCTGCCGTATGGCGGATACATTGCACCGGTCACATCAATGCTCGACAGAACAGACATCAAGCACGTCAAGGAGGCTGCTGAGAAGGCATTCGGAGGCCCTGGCCTGCCTCACTCCCCCGCTACCCCGGCGTCTAAGATGGGCATGGAACAACAGGCCATCGGCATGGCTGTCTGGCAGAACAAAATGTCTGATATTGAGGCGGACGCCTTCGTATCTGCCTTCCTACCCCCCGCCTACGCCTCGGCCATGGGAAGCTTGGTCGAGGTTCGCAAACGCCTAGGCACGGAATGGCTGCGCAATCTTTTCAAGAACGGGAGTGGGCCTCGCGTTCTCGACGTTGGCGCTGGTGGTGCTGGTCTTTTGGCCTGGCAGGATGTGTCGCGCGCCGAGTGGGACGCCATGAAGTCTCGCGGAGAGGTCACTGAGAAGAACCCTCCCGGAAAGCAGAGCGTGGTGGTGGGATCGGAAAAGCTGCGGACTCGCGTCACTAAGTTTTTGCAGAACACGACTTTCCTCCCCCGTCTTCCCGACTACCACCACTCAGTCGAGAACGCACACCTTCACCTGGATGCCAATGAAAACCCCCAGCCGAGGAAGATGTTCGATATCATCATCGCATCTCACCTGATGCTTCCCGTCAAGGAAGGCCACAGACGGAAGGCTATTCTCAACAACATCTGGTCACTTCTGAATCCCAACGGCGGTGTCTTGATCCTGCTGGAAAAGGGCCAGCCGCGCGGTTTTGAAGCCGTGGCTGATGTTCGAGAGCGTCTGCTCACTGAGTTCCTCATCCCTCCTGGAGGTGAAAATCTTACCATGAGCGAAGAAAAGAACCCGGCGTTCGAGAGAGAAAAGGTACCTGGCATGATTATTGCACCCTGCACAAACCACCGCGGGTGCCCGATGTACCAGGTCCCTGGAAAGAGTACTGGACGTAAGGATTTCTGTCACTTCAACCAGCGCTTCGTGCGTCCGCCGTTCTTGCAAAGAATCATGGGCGCAACACATCGCAACCACGACGATGTGCAATTCAGCTACATCGCTATTCAGCGCGGCGTCGCAGCAAAGGACGGACCGCTCGCCGGCGCAGAAGCCGCCGACCGGGCCTTTGAGGGCTTCGAGACGTCCGAGACGGCACCCGACATGCTCTCTCTGCCCCGCCAGATTCTCCCGCCCATCAAGCGTCGCGGCCACGTCACGCTCGATGTGTGTACGCCCAACGCGCAGATTGAGCGCTGGACGGTGCCGAAGAGCTTTAGCAAGCAGGCATATCACGACGCCCGCAAGGCCAAGTGGGGCGACCTCTGGGCTCTGGGCGCGAAGACGCGCAACCGTCGCAACGTACGTCTGGGCAGGCCTGAGGTGCTCGATGACGGCGGTCTTAGAGCTCAGCGTCAAAAGGCGGCTGCTAGCAAGAAGAAGAAGGTGATTGGTGTCGATATCAACGAGACGGGTGTTATTGGCTCGGATGAGGCCAGAACAACAACTGGGCCGCAGCGCAAGACGAGCAGGAAGGCGGCTCGCCAGCAGCTGTTGAAGAGTCTGGCCAAGGCGGACGAGGAATAATTGTAAGCTTGAGGTGTAATGTTAGGTTTGTGTACAAAAAAACGGGCGGGAAAAGTATTGTATCAACACCACGAAAACCGAATAGATCTTGGATGGGCGGGAATGGAGGCATATCATGGTCTGCCTTGCTTCGAGGCACTAAGGCACATAACTCAAAGGATGAGCCAACCACATCATGTTACAATACCACAACTCAATGATTTGACAGCTCTTTTGTAAGGCCAAGCATGCAAAGCGCAATGGTTATCTGATGTCTAAACCAAAAGTGGCGGACATGGTGTTTGACACCGGAGATGCATCGGCGAGCACAGGTCGAAGGAGGGACGGTAAGTTAAGGATCTCCGGCGACGGCTCCGCGGGAGTCGGTCACTAATGCCGCTGATTGGTCACGCCATCGCCCTGGCCCTTCAGCGCGTTTGCGGTGGTCACGGTGCGGGTGGTGCGTCGATAAGGGGATCAGGGCCACTGGGGCGGACGGCTATCGGGATGGTGTCATCGCCAGCGAATGAAAATTTGGCCAACCAACGTTTTTTGCCCGCCGCATGATTGGGTCCCACGGGCCCCCGGCCGTCTTCGGGCTTTGGCAGATTACCTTATTAGTTAGCTTCACTCAAATCTTGGAGGAGGACAATGAGTGAGTAATTCATATCAATGCTTTATTTCTCTATTTGACTTCAGAGTTATGAGAGTTTGTTGATTCTACTACTCGTTCTCGATTCATTTCCCATCCATTTGGTCTCACTTGGACTATTGGTTCTTCGACTACGACCTCTGTCGCATACTCCACTTAGACGACCCTCACTCGACCATCTGGAGAGACGGGGATCGTGTACTTAAACTCGAGAGAAAAAGAACAGTAAGGAGAAGAAGACTCATCGTCTTCACTCGCACAGCCCAAGATGGCGACAACGACACCTCTCCTCACATCACTTAACTGCAAGGGCAACACACATCTCATTATCGGCACAAACCCCCTCGCCGCAGCCCGCTGCACACAAACCATCAACGCTGGCGCAACCCCGATCCTCATCGCCCCAGATACACAAGACCTCCACTACGGCCTCCAGAAGCGCATCGACGCCGGTGAGGTGACATGGCACAGGAAAGCCTTTGCCGACACAGACCTCTTCACTCTAGGTCGCGACGAGGTTGATAATGTCGTTGATGCCGTCTTCGTCACATCTTCTGCCTCCCCGCAAGCAGCTCAGATCTCAGCGCTATGTAGGCGGCATCGTATTCCCATCAATGTAGTCGACGCGCCGCAGCTTTGCTCGTTCTCACTTCTGTCAACACACACCGACGGACCTCTACAGATTGGTGTTACCACAAACGGGCGCGGCTGCAAGCTCGCCTCCCGCATCCGGCGCGAAGTCGCCGCTGCGCTTCCCCGGGATCTAGGTGCCGCCTGCGCGAGGCTAGGCGATGTACGCCGGCGAATCCAGACAGAAGACCGTCTCGCGGCAGATGAAGTCGACGATTCGTTCGACCAGACGGCATCATTCAACAAGCTCGTCACTGCGGCCGATCTCGATGCGGCGAAGAACCGGCGCATGAGGTGGCTGAGTCAGGTATGCGAGTACTGGCCCCTGAAGCGTCTTGCCGCCATCAACGATGAGGACGTTGAGTCTGTACTGAAGTCGTATCCTGGCTTCGGCAACCCATCAGAGGAGGCGAGACCACCACCGGTCATCGCAGCAGGTGGCGCAGCACGCCCGCAGCAAAAAGGGAGAATCATCCTCGCAGGCAGTGGCCCAGGACACCCAGACCTCCTGACCCGTGCAACCCACAAGGCGATTCAGACAGCAGACCTCATCCTCGCAGACAAACTCGTCCCCGCGGGCGTGCTAGATCTCATTCCGCGCCGCACTCCCGTCAAGATTGCGCGCAAGTTCCCAGGCAACGCAGACCAAGCCCAAGAAGAACTCCACGAGCTCGCGCTGGCGGGCGCAAAGGAGGGCAAGACGGTGTTGAGGCTAAAGCAAGGCGATCCCTTCATCTACGGCCGCGGAGGAGAGGAGGTGGCGTATTTCAGAGAGCACGGGTTCGGGGAGCGGGTGACGGTGCTACCGGGCATCACATCGTCGTTGAGCGCGCCTTTGTTTGCGGGAATTCCGCCTACGCAGAGAGATGTCGCGGATCAGGTCCTCGTATGTACCGGCACAGGGAAGAAGGGCAAGGCGCCGACACCGCCGGAGTATATTCCCAGTCGTACGGTTGTGTTTTTGATGGCTTTGCATCGGATTACGGGATTGGTTGGGGAGTTGACGACTCACCTCGACTCGGAAGTTGCTGCGCGCGAAGGGGAGGAGAAGAGCACACCGAAGAGGGCGCTGTGGCCGAGGGATACGCCGTGTGCTGTTATTGAGCGGGCGAGTTGCCCTGATCAGAGGGTGATTCGGACGACGTTGGGGTATGTTGCCGAAGCCATTGAGGCTGAGGGGAGCAGGCCGCCTGGGCTTCTTGTTGTGGGTAGAGCATGTGAGGCGTTGTATGAGCGAGAGAAGGGAAGGGCGTGGGCTGTTGAGGATGGATTCAAGGGATTTGATTTTGAGGAGCTTTCTGGCTTGTCATGATATTTCCCTTTCCGTTTGAAGGTATTTGGAAGGTTCCCAGTTTGCTCCTGAGCCATGACTTCCGCGTCGGTAGTTTCTTGATATCATGGGTTCGTGCGAGTACGGTTAGATAAATACCTTCCGGGAACGAGGCATTGCAAGGCGCACATAAATTTTACAAACGGATTCAATTCAAACTACACCCTTCTAACATTCAAGATTCAACGCAAACAAGACGCGGCTCCCAACTCTTCTCTGTGAAGAAGACCCTGAGAGCTGGTCCTGACGATGTCAATCAATACTGGACTTCGTGAGAACCTCTTGCAAATACAAACCTATCGCCAAACTCCAAACTCTCTGCAAAGTTCCGCCTCAAGCATGAATCTGTCTCAAAGCGAGTTCAAAGAGCTGGCTCAGAAGCCATACTGCAGTGTTGTTAGCAACATTCTGGCGAAGGGACTACCGCGAGACTCGAGGAGTTAAGTACTTACCTGAGACCAGCGTGGCAGCGAAACGAACGATGAAAACATGCGCGAATAGTTTCGGCAGGATGGCTCGCTTTCCCAGATGCTCAAGTGCCACACCGATTCCTTCGTTGACCGCTTCATGCCCAGTATTCCGGTTCTCGTCTAAGGGTAGGGACCGAGGCTCATCTTCCTTGATTCCCTCTTCTCCTATTTGAAGCTTAGCTTCTGGCTTGCCATTGATCTCATCGAGTAGGTGAAGAAGCCGGGCTTTGTTCTCGAAAGACGACAGCTCAATGATCTGTCGTGGGCGTAGGCTAAAACAACAATCTTTCAATGCGGGTACGTCACTGAAATATGTGCTGGATCCATTTCCTAAGTTTTGTTTGTTATCATCGAACTTGCAAAGCATCGATTCCATGCGATCTATCTTAATCGTAACTTGAAAGTCGAGATGTAAGGGAAGACCAGCGGTAGATCATTTCAGTCAGATCAGAATACGAGCATTCTGTCGTTTCATGAAGCTCGTCTAGGCCGTCGATGAAAAGGCAAAAGCGGTAGTTCTGACTTATATCGCTCCCTCGAAAGAGTCGGTCAAGACCTTGTGAGGCTTGGGATGGCGAAATGTGCATTCGTTCACCGGCCGGCCAAGAGGATGTGTACACCGTCTCCCAGAACGAGGGAAGGTCATGGGGTGTGAGATCAGGATGAGCTGAGAGAACTTCATGGAGCAGCCCGAGATATAAGCCGGACATGGACCTTTGTCGCTCGCCCCCAGAGTTCCAGAAGAAGAACTTGGCACAAACCAGAGTCTTATCGCCTGCAGATATCCTTGTCAGATTGCTATTCCGTTCAAGCCTTTGAGAAAGGACAACTCACCTGCCCAAGTATCAAGCCGCTTTCGGCTCTCACCATGGTTGATTATTATCTTCATCACAGTCGACTTTCCAGCTCGAGCTTAGCCGAGAAGTGAAACACCCCGCTGCCTGAAGATAGCCACCGCGTAATCTTCTGTCGGATGTGTCGGCGCTCTTCGCAAGTGGCAAGGCATTTTGATGACGGAATCTGATATGGGCCATGTGAGATTTCTCTGGCAAGCAGTGGGAAGTCATCCCCGTCAACTCCTGTACAGATCACAAGCGCGTTGTCTTCCTCCAGAGCGAAAGTAGCGTCGACCTTGAGGTTCGTTTCCTTCATCATTTCAGTCACGCTGTCGGATAAAGCTCATTTGGGCGACCATTCGGGCAGTCGACGTTACATTTTTCCTCAAAATCATCGGCCAATATCCACCGAAATGTCTTTTTATGCGCGTCGCAAATCGTGTCATAGCAGTAGTACATGGTGTCGAATTCAAGTGCTCTGAGAATAGACCTCTGAGCAAGGTGTTTAAGCGAACGTTGGGGTATGAGTAAAAGGTTCTGAATATCGCCTTTGATAGAGTTTCGCAGGCTGCAGATGTCGCTAATAGTTTGTAGACTCTCGATAGAGCCTTTGATCTCTTGCAGCCGAGAAAAGTTGTCTTTTTCGTTTCCTACCAAGATGTTGAGTCTTGAGACGATTCTTTCACTATTCATAAAATTTAGCAGAGGTGAATCGTCTATGTGTACATGCAGAAGGGATGACAAACCTTGTGATATACGTGAGTTGAGGACCGATTTGGCTCTGGCAGGAGTTGAGTTTGAATTGTAATCATCTCAAATCACTTTGATATTTCACGCCTTTCAAGCGACTTGATTGCATGTATTCCGGAAAACGGCTTTTTGGATCGTATGCCATCAATGAGCGTAAGGATATCCTCACAAACTTTGCAGCAGTCTTTTGCTAATGCGCAGAGGACCTTCTCGCCGTCATCGAGTTCCATGGGATCCGGGGTCTGGAGATTGTTCGCGAAACGACGCATTTGCTCCGCAATTCTCCACAGGTTGGCAGCTTCTTCAGTGAGACCTGATGAGGATTTGTAGACTATTTTGGCTTCGTTAAGGCCTTTAAGGCCAAAATCGACAAATGCCAAAATGTTTGCCATCAGCCCGATGGCTGTCAGTGGATCCATTTTGTGTCGCGGGTAGCAACTTATGACACTGCTGTGGTACGATGCAAAGTGGTGATCTTGTTCTTGGCGTAACCGTTTTTTGGGAATGACTTCGCAGAAAGGACACTTGTCTGGGCTTATATCTATTAATTGGGCTACGTATTGATGCCGTCGGATCGAAGCAATGCTTGAATCAACATTGATCAGTAATAATTAATGGCCTCGGCCGGGTTTTCTGGCGTAACCGTAAGCAAGCCAGTACAATGATACATGAAACAGCATCGTCTTTTTCGATGGTGTAATAAAGAAAAGTTCCGAGCTCTGGAACGTGCTGCGGATTCCACTCAGAGGTCTTCTCAAACACGGCAGCTGACAATTTACGTCATTTCGGATGTACGACTGGCTTTCTAGCACGACCGAATATCAAGTATCGCATCTCATTTGCGACGTGCACGAACATCCTTTTTATCCACTTCCGCCCAATTCCTGGGCAAGCTTGATGATCTGAGAAATAGTTCACATTATGAGATGCTTGTGATCCTACCTCGTAAGGTACCTTGCGATGTGTTGACTGGCGGTGACCCAGAGCTTAGACAATTCCATCAAGCCTTTCAAGAGCTTCGGGATTGGCTGGCACGGCTGGCAATAAGACTTCCTGCTACTGCATCCTTCCGCTTATTCAATGCGACGTTGCGATTGCGCTGGTGATGTGAGCTGCTCTCTGACTGGCCCAGCAATCATTGAATCGACAAGAAGGCGACCTGCTAGCCTCATCACACCGCGGTAAAAAGGCTTCCGTGCAGTTGATCAGCCTTGATTTAGTGGATCGCGTTCCTCTCAGAGTTTAGTGATGGAGCGTTAGTCTGGCCTAGCTCGAGAATCTAAGCCACCGCAGACCCCTGCACCGTTGGATCGGACATTAAACACTCGGCTGTGTCGGCGGCGTCGACCCCGTCCGCAATCTCGCTGGGAACAGATTAATGTCTCTCTGGCCCCCCCGACTCATCGACCCCGTGTCCGTACGCCAAATCAATTCTTTTCACCCCGTGTCCGTAGCGATGCTGCTTCTTCCATGACCGTTTGGCTAACCACACCGAGGACTCCGAACCGCCTAGCCCCCTTCCCTTCCCTTCCCTTTCCCCTCCTCCGTGTTGCGCCGCCGCCGCCGCCCCTCCGTCAGCACGTATCCCGTTGTGCGTCTGCGTCATGGAGTCTCGCCAACGCAGTCCAACCCCGCTTTTGAAGACGTGTCGTACATGCGCCCACGCCAAAATCAAGTGCGATCGTTCCCAGGACTCCAACGTCTGCGATAGATGCCTCCGGCTGGGCAAAGATTGCACGTATGCTGTGGCCCGCGGGAGGAAGCCGCCCGGGCCGCGTTCCAGGTAGTTCTCACAAGTTTCCTTGTCCAACGTCGGGTGGTTGCCGCCGAAAACTGACGCGAGAGACGGCGCAAAAGGTCCAACAAGTTGCAGGTTCCGGAGAGGCCGGCCCAACCCGCCCAACCTGTGACCGAAAGTCCTTCCGCCTCTGAAAGCCTTACGCCCGATCAAACCCGGACTCCTCCGCAGCTTGCTGCCTCGTCTGGCAGTTCATCCACTCAACATCCCCGAGCCGGTGATGCCGGTCCAGCCGGTCGTAGCCTTGGCACCGGCGTTCATGACCCATTCGAGGCCGGCCAGCTTTCTCTCGACAAAGGCCAGGAGCTTCTTGAGAGGTTTCGTACCAAGTTGACACCTCATTTTCCATTCATCATCATCCCAGCATCAGAAAATGTGAGCTCTTTGAGGCAGTCAAGGCCAGCCTTGCTGCTCGGCCTTCTCGCTGTTTCGTCATACGATGATGTCCGCCTGCAGCGAGCACTGGGTCAGATGTTTAACGACCTCATCGCGGTCCGCTTGGTGAAGGGTGATTTTGCCTGCCTTGACGTACTCCAGGGCCTCCTCGTCCATCTCGCCTGGTAATGCGAAACCACACTAACCCTCCATGTCCCTGGCACTAACCTCGTCACAGGGCCCACTTCCAACCAAGGCCGAAGAGATACTCACAGCATCTTCATCTAGCTACGAGCATAGTGTCTGATCTGCGTTTCGATAGGCCAAAGAACCCGAAACGTTGGAACGTTGAGGGCATGAGCACTTCACAAGACTATGTCGACTCTTTAGATGAACGTAGGACGTTTCTTGGGACGTATTATCTCTCATCTTGGTATGTCTGTCAAGTCGACGGTTCCCGCAGGCTGTGATGCTGGGCCCCCAGCTAATCTTCAAACCCTCGTAGCACGAGTATCGTGCTTCAGAAGCTTCGCATAGTTACTCTGTCGAGTTACATCACCGAAACTGCTGAGAAGCTAGCGGAGATCTCTGAATACCCCACTGATCAGTACCTTCCGTACATCATCAGCCTACAGCGGTTAGCCGAAGACATTGATGACATTGTGAAGAACGAGTCGACATTAGATCCTATGCAGATTCAAGCTGCGGTATCAGAAGCTAAGGAAAGGGTCGACTTGTTTAAGAGCGGGCTGACCTTCGCTCTCGGCGATTGTCGTAAGTTGAATGCCCGTGTTTACAAGCCTGAGTAGACTCCTAACCATTCATCGTAGCAATCTTGGTGCCCCAATTACACACAATCCAGCTCTGCCTGAACCAGCTGTCTCTACCAGAGACACCGTTTGGTCTCAACAACCCGCAAAACGCCCCAATGCAGCGGTTCATCGCAGGTTTATCCGAGAGCATAGTATCGGCCAAATCGCTCGTTAGCGTCCTCCTCCATACACCTCATGGACAAGAGGTCTACTTCCCAAACATAGTCTGGGTAATGCTGCATTGTGGCTTCACTCTAGCCGCACGGCTGGATCTGCTAGCTGCGGATCCCCGGGTAGGGTTCATGGCGGAGCACTTGAGGCAGTTTGCAGACATTGCACACACCATTCGCCAGGTCGTGCTCAGGCTCGACGCTGCAAGCTCACCAGACCTTGATGACAGAGGCGACCGCGACAGTTTCTACCACTTTGCGATTCGTGCAAAACGGGTCGAGAAGTTTTACCTCCATGCTCAGAGTCAGGCTGCTGCTCAGCAACAAGCACAAGCCCAGCAGCAAGAAATTTCGCCTCATAGTATCCATGCCAGCCTGCCAACGTCTACTGCAGGGTTTACGACCATGGGAACACCAAGCTCGGATTTTTCGAATCAAAACGCAAGCCTAGATTACACAGTCGCGTCTTCCATATTCTCGCAGAACATGGTGCCGTCGGCGGGAAATGTCGCGTACCCGGACTTTTCTATGGCCAACACCGCCACACTAGTCTCGAACCCCGATTTCGTCATGGATACCCTCTCTTTCTTACCAGATTCTTTCATTCCTTTCAGAGGCTGGGGCAATGGTATGGGCAACGAACACAGTGGCGGAGCGCAGTTTTAGCGCGATCCTATTGAAAATGCGAGGAAGCGGCAGCAATTTAATGGCTTTGAGTCCACAGTTGTGGCGGGGTCGGACACGGACTCGGAGTCGGATTTTGGACATCCTACCCCTTTTGGCTGTCGGAATTAATGACTGTCGGAGCGAGCAGCATTCTTGCAGGCGGAAGAAAACTAGTGTCAGTCAGTCCACGTGATCTTGAATAGAGGATCGGTGTATCTTCAGTCGTTGCTTCAACAATACTGCTTGAAATCGGTAGGCTAGAGACGTGCTGCGTGCGCGGCCTCCGTGTCCGTAGTCGAGTTGGTAATAGTCTACCTGCTGCAACAAGGACAGCGGACGAGAGGCATTGAAGAATGGTATATAACAAATCTGAAGTCCGCTGTGGAGATGGGGTCGAAATCCATCATCGCCATCTCATACCGAAACAGCTTCGTGCCTCATATAATACGTGCATCATCTACATCGTTCCCTCATCATGCGTCAAAACATATTGTCTGTTGCTTCGGCAGTGGCTTCATTGTATTTTCTTCCGATAACTCTTGCAGGAAACCCAGTTTATCAGCCATGCCCTCTCTTGAAAGCTTACTATCATATGCCGACCATCGACAAGAACGCTGAAGCTGTCAAATCCTTCACCAAAAGCTTCACGGGGTTGTTCGACCAGCTTGTGAAAGCGGGCGGTTCCGAAGACTTTGGTGAGATCGCACCCAACACCACTTCTTTTTCAGTGGTCTTGTTCTCGGGCTCAGATGGGGCAGAAGAGGATCCCGTGTTTTTTGAGTATCATTACGCAGCCCCCGAAGCCCCGCAGAACTCGACACTGGATTCCAACACGGTGTTTCCTCTGGGTACTCTAACCCAACTATTCACCGTCTACGCATGGCTTGTCGAGGTTGGAGACGAGCAATGGGGAAAGCCCATCACAGAGTTTCTGCCAGAGCTCAAGCATGTTTCTACAGGGGAGATGAAAGTTCAGTGGGATAATATCACTGTCGGGTCACTGGCAGGTCAGATGTCTGGGCTGGCGAGAGAATGTGAGTTTGCTAAGAATATCTCAAAGCATACACGTAGACACTAATCGCTTCTTCTTAGCTTACACTTGTGTTTTGAGCAAGTATTGCGGTCACGATGAGTTCATCGACAATTTCGGTAGTCAACCGCCACTTTTCCTACCTGACACTACGCCCATTATCTCAAACGCTGCTTTCCAGCTCCTCGCCCTGGCATTGGAGGCAAACAAAGTTGAAGGTAGTGAAAACACGACATTCGACAGCATTCTCGCGACTGGTGTTTTTGAACCTCTCAACATGACGAACAGCGGCCTTCTATCATCACTACAGGATGCTAAGGTGTTTGCTCGAGATCTGAACGTTTCAGCTACCGGCGAACCAGCGTATGTGTTCCACACTACATCTTTTCTACATCTTAGTCGCTCAAGACTAACTCCTGGCAGCGCACTCTCAATGATTTCCTCCTCCTCGGATCTTGCGCGTGCAGGCCACGCCATGCTAAGCTCTCGTCTCATACCACCAGCCACCACTCGCCGCTGGCTGCAGCCCGTTGCCGACACATCAAACCTTCGCAACGGCGTCGGTAGGCCTTGGGAGATTTATCACGCTGGTCAATATGCGAACAGCTCCGTTCTCGATGTCTTCACCAAGACTGGTCTGATTGGACACTACGCGAGCTACTTTGGCCTAGCCCCTGACTTCAACGCTGGGTTCGCGATCCTCGCGCACGATACTGAAGCAACTCGCGGCCCGGATCTAAATGTTTACGCCGACATCGTCTCTCTGGCGATTGTAAAGCTCCAAGAGCTCGCCGCTACTGAGGCGACGGCGCGATATGTTGGCACCTTTGAAGGACCTGGGGGCGTTGCCGCTTTCAACACCTCGCGCGACGGGCCTGGGCTGCTTGTCTCGACCTTAACAGCTGGAGAGAATGACCTCCGTGCCCAGATTTCGAATGCTGCAGGCATCAAGTTGGAGGACCTGGACTTCCGTTTGTATCCAAGCAACGTTGGTTCGAATACTCAACACCAGTTTGTGGCGGTTTTCCAGGACAAGAGTGCTCCAGTCGACATGGGTACGCCGACCTGTATTACTTGGCAGGACGTTGACTCTCTGGGGTCAAGTGTGGACGTTCGAGTGGTTTTCACCATTGATGCATCTGGTAAGGCTACCAATGTTACTCTGAACGGTGGTGTCCTGTCATTAGGTAGATCAGCTTGAGACATGTGATGACTTTGTGGATCCTTCCCGTGGCGATTTGTTACTTTTCGTCTACGCACCAGTCTCCTTCGAATAGTTACATGCTCATTCAGTCCAATCGTATCCTTGTCACTGAAATTTGAATTGGCAGCACTTAAAGGAGCAAGGCTGTATGAGTATTGTGATGGCTTCGTACCTACTTGGGTATACCCTGGGTATTTACTTAGCTCAATGAACAAAGCATAGGGGCAGGGAGGAATACTGCGTCTGTGCCGAATTGGGAACCCTCGACTCTTATCGATCCACGTTGTTTCTTGACCTGTCAACTCAGGGGCAGATTTTTGAGTGCTTATCTGTGGTTTTATAGTCGTTGATGATCGGATCACTGTCATTCCTGCCAGACTCGGAGGCGACGTAGCGATCATGGCTCTTTGTGTGGCATGCTCCGGTCCGGGGTGGGTCCCGTCAATCTATTCTACCGGCGGACGCTTCCCGAAGTGGAAGGACAGCGCCTTGTTATGACCCGCATGTGTTTAGCCATAACCTTAACTCCTGGAATGGAAACTGCTTGCTCTGGGGAAGCTGGTCCTGTCATGTGAGGGAAGCCGGGAGCCGACTCATTCACTCATATAAGTACGACGATCGTTTCCTCCTTGGCCAAAATCATTCTTGACCTATTCACGTTCAAGCTATCTCTACAGTCCTCGGGATCAAGATGCAGTTCACTCAACTCCTCCTCGCTATCGTGTAAGTGTTGCGTCCGTGTGTGTACCTTCCATGTGAGCTCTTCTAACCTCAAACTCAACAACAGCCCGTTCATCGGTGTGTCACAAGCCATTCTTTGCTCGTGCGATCGCAGTACGACTGCATCAATTACTTGCTGCCCGGATATTCAGAAGTGGAGTATGCTGTGCCTGTTTCAAAACCTTATACATTCAATTAACAGGTGATAGATGGCTATGAATGCGAGCCAGCTGATCGTCAAGCCTACACCGATTGCTGTGCGGACCAATTTTCGACTACGACCTTCTGCAGAGACGGCAGTGTTTAAGCTAGTTGAAGATACAGCCTTTGTCTTATTGATGAATTAATCCACATCAGAAGAATTGACTACTTGAGCGAATCAATTGATATGCCGGTCTTGTCATGAGTGATACTTGCTCTCCAAAGCTTCGTTCCACTATAGATTCCTCACGCATCTTCTTCCCACAAAGCGTAGTCCTCGAAGTAAACGTAATGGATTCGCTCCGCATAATCGACCAAGACAGGGTAACTCTTTATGACCCCTTTGCTATCTGGTGCCCTGTCACCAAGATTATTAGCTTCTTCTCCGGGTATGCAATCGCACTAGATAAGGTGACCTACGCTGCACATCCCAAACCTGATGCAATGAAGCCGAAGACGGTTGCATCCGCCTCAGAAGGACTTTTGCCGCCCAACACCCAGAAAGGTGTCTGAAGATCAGGAGCTGTGAGCCGAGTCTCACTCAAGAGCGCATTAACATGTCCCCAAACATCCCGCCGGAATTCTGCAAGCTCTTCACTAGAGAAACGGCCAGTGCCTTGGCCGTAGAGGGTCCGAGTGACACCACGGTACGCAAGGAGACCAATGAGATTCTGTATTGGCCACGGGATCGCATCCATTACACCTGATCGCATGGTTTCGTAGTTGTCTTGCCATCTCTCTGCGCTCTGTCATGCAAGTGAGTAAGTATTTGTGAGTATTTGTGAGTATGTTGGGAATAGCTCAGACAGTCATCTGTGCTTACCTGGTAGAAGGCTAGCTTGTCCTCGAGAAGGGCGCGGATGGCAGCGTCTTGGGCTCTGGCTATTGGTGAAAGTGGCTCGTTGAGGTCTGGACAAACATCTTCATCGATGAGTCGTTGGATGATGAGACTGGTGTCACTCAAAGTGATCGGCTGATCTTGATTGGGTTGGGCGATCTCAATGTATGGTATTTTACCACGGGGTGACTTGCTCATTGAACCTTGGTCGATGCGAAACCGAAGCTTAGCGAATCGAAGGCGCGCTTCAAGCTTCGTGACGAAAGGTGACCAGACATAGGAATTGGAAATTGGGAATCCTCGGTATAGCACGAGATGAAGCTGACTTTTGACTGGCGTAGACATGGTGAAAGTGGTGTGATAAGGTAGCTGACAATGTGTTCTATGAGGTATAGAGAAGTGATGGAATGAGATGTGAGATGAGGATGATCAATCTGGGTGAAAAGAAACACGAGAACACCGCATAGATATACGTATTCTTTCTTTCGGATTTTTTCGATCCTTTATTGCTTGCCCTCCAGAATGAGGCCCAGCTGCCTAATCGGACCCGATTGAGTCGCCGCTGAAGTGCGGCACAGCGGCCGGCCGGACTACGGGGCGGGCCTGCGCCGTTGAGCCGTACTGCGTGCGTGATCATTACCCGCGCGGGTCGGGCACGCTTACGATAGCAAACTATGCCTAGAATGAACTTACGAGTAAAGAAATGACAACTGTCTGACTCTTGGCCGGAATGCCACTAAATTTGATATTTAGATTGCTTGGGAAAAGATCACGCATTTGTCAAGACTACAGGCCGGAAGTTCGATCTATCCGCTCAGGGGCGCGCCCGGATGGCGACGAACCTCACACCCCATTCATGCCCGAAGTTGAAAGATCCAAGTGCAGAGCCACGCACACCAAGTGGTAGCAAGACTCGCTCCATGCCCCCGTGCGATTGGGTATTTTGGATGATACATCGTCGAATTGTTGGTCCTCAACAGCCATTTCGCCAGACCGTCTCAAAACAG